TTAGACTAAACCAGGATTAGGCCATAGTTCAATTAGGACATTTAAGTCATTTTTATAAACATGCCTTGTGTGTATTAAAAAAAAAACATTACTGATGTGCATCTTGAGACAAAACAAGGACACTGACATATTTTAAGATCAATCAGTGTTTCTTTCAGTTGAAACAGCTCAGATTTACATTTTAGTCTGGGACTAGGCTTAAAACCTTGTCTGTGAAACCAGGGTTGGACCAACAAACGCTCATTTGTTTTCATTAATTTACGGATGTCACGTGTTTAGCTTTATCTGCACCACACATTGTATCTGACATTTTTGTTTGTTAAAAAAAGAAATTATAAAATAGGTTACTTTTATCAAAGTTGTCATTTGTTTTTTTTTGTGGGGTTCAAAATGACACAAGATTCTAGAGCTGTCAAATTAATTACCTTTATTATTATTATTAATAATTTTGTTTACCAAATCACATTGTTGGTTCAATTACAAATGTTAAATTGTCATAGCAATCTCTTCTCTTTTTAGCTAAAAAATAAATACACTGTATACACATTAAGCTTTATACATTTTAGTACAGTTAACTCACTGTACTGTACACTGTACAGTTAAACACTGACTTAACATAAAAAAAGCACTCCATGTCTTACTCCACGACGTGGAACAAAAACATAAATCAGTGTTATTTATCTAAATACATTATGTTTAGAGCTAATTTGACTGATTATAAAAATAAAAACATTTAACAAATCTTAGACTCTATTCTTAGTACCATAAACCAGTCATGGAGCTGCATCTCCTCCAGAATAAGTCTCTGCTGGGGATCAGGCTGCAGACAAGCGCAAATCATCTGGCAGCATTCTGTTCAAAAAGATGAGAGAGATGTCTGATTATTAACTTATATGTTACACATTTTTATATTTAGATTTCAAATTGTATACTTTCATATTTAAAATCAAATTGTTCATCTTTGTTCTTTTATGAAGATCCCACCTTGTGACAGGTCAGGTTTGGACCACCCTTTCTTAATGATCATGTGCAGGTCTTTGTCATCTGGAAAATACCCGCACACCATCACGAACAGCAGGATCCCTAATGACCAAACTGTCGTTAATGCATTTCTACAGCATGTACAGCAGGATGTTTCAGTAAGCTAAATAACCTGCTAACAAATCATAAACCATCGCATACCATATTGAATTATGTTTCATTTTTATGTTTTTCTAAGTAGTAATATACAAAATGGCATAAGCGAATTGGACCAAATTTCACATTTTGTGTTTTCTACAATCAGTTTTATTCTTTCAGGAGACACAAGACTGTATAAATTATAAAATATATCTGGTCTATCACAATCTAAAATAGAATCCACATCCTCCAGCTTTATATCATTCCATTTATGTGCATTCTGTATTGGTATATACTGATTCAGAGCATCTCCTCACCTCATCAGCTGAGCCATCCCTGTATCCAGCAGCCTCTTCCTGCCAACATCTTTGCATCCCTGGACCAGAGCTGAGCTAATCCGATAGCCACGGCTGCTATGACCTTCAGAGTGTGAAACAAACAAATAAATGATCATTCACACAGCACTGTAATAATCCATGTATATTTACTGAAATGCATCATGTACTGTACTTTTCTGTCAATAAACAGTTTATCAGATTGTTATCTGTGCTATCACGTTTCAAAATAAAGATTCAAAGATCACAA